TGGATTCCTCCTGTGGAGGAGCGTTCGCGCTCGGACCCTCTGGGAGGAGGGCAGTCTGAGGCCTCTGGGCCAGCCCCTACTACAGTCCTACCACACCTCCTACCACACCTCATCGGCCTTACACTCAAATCCATGCGTGGCGGATTGCGCACTGGATTCCCTCTGTGGAGGAGCGTTCGCGTGCTTCGGACCCTCTGAGAGGAGGAGGAGGAGGAAGGAGGAGGAGGAGGAGGAGGAGGGCAATCGGAGGCTCCTTCTGGAGCGGGGCTCGGGAGGGGAGAGCAGCACAAGCATGAGCAAGGAGGAGAAGGAGGAGGAGGAAGAGAGAAAAGCGGAAAGAAGGACGACGACGACGACCTAACCCAGCGACATATGTCTCCGTATCTGGTGCTCTCGAATCTTATGGCGTAAAATCCGAGTGGCTTACTGTGCCAAGCACCAGTGCTTCATGTTTGGGTCCTCGTGCTTTCTTGCCAGCAGCCGTGCTGACGGAGCGCCCTCTTCCTGGCGGCTTTACACCTATGATCCCGCTGCGGCGGAATGCACATAGGCACCTGTCATGCAAGAGTCACGGGGCCCTCTGAAAGGAGGGCGATAACTACATTCCCTCGAGCATCCTCATCATCGCCCCCCTGCCTCATCGTCCCCATCTTGCCATGCCTGGTCATGCATGGTTCTCTGGGTCGCCATGTGATGCATTCCTCTGCTTGCTTCTCTCTCTCTCTCTATATATATGGAATCGCGTCATTCTGCTCCTCACTCATACTCCACTCCTAGATTCCTCCTCGCCTCCATCCTTGTATAGCGCATAGAGGACCACTGTGCGCTGTCAGCGGTCTGTAGTGCAAATAGTGGTCGTGCAAAGCACCATGCGCGGCAGGAGCCCGTGCAGATGATGATAGCACGCTGCAGCGTACTTACTGCAATGGCGGGATCGTAGTATTCGTGCACCACCAGTGCAGCATTACAGTAATAGTACAACTGTACCTGTCGCAGAAAGCCATACATCGGTAGAGCACAAGCGAGTGCGCACACACAAGCAGTTATACCAGTATTAGCAGCATGTGTCCACGACATGCACAGCCGAATGATAGTACCATTCGAATCGATGGAGCACAGTAGTAGTCACTTGGGTGGAGCACACATCATAGCACTTATAATACAGTGCGCAGTGCTAGCCGTCACCGTAACAGTGGTGGAACAGTGGTACGATCAGAAACCGAGAGTATGGCGCAACATGAACAGTGTATTTCATTATTCCGTCAAAAACAAGACTTGGAATATGTCAGATTGGCAATGCAATAACCCTTGCTTATGCCGTGTGCCGCATAATGAGAACATGAGGAACACGAGGAGGCAGAGCGGCAAGGGGAAGGTGAAGAAAAGAGGAGGGATGAGGCCGCATAAGGGGATATGAGGAGGGGGAGGGAGGATGAAGAGGATGAGGAGGAGTGATGGTGGCTGATGATGGTGATGTTGACGTTGACGAGGGTTGTGAGGATGAGAAGCGTCAGTGCGCTGGCAAAGAAACTGTTGCAAACCTGCATGTTCCCGGGCACGGGGGTACAACCTCCGCTCCCACAGGCGCCCGCCCGAGCGCGGTGTCGGACTCGCGCGGCAGCGCAGCAAGATGGCAAGCAGGTGAGAGCCGTGCCCCCCGGCCGGGAGAAGCGGGGGGGACCCGAGACAAGAGGCTGACCTCCAGCTTCCAGGGAGGGAACGGGCTCCAGAGATCGGCGTGCAGATCTCGGGGAGCTCCCGAAAGCCCCAAAGACGCCCAAACCGCCCGCGAAACTCGGCTCTCCCCCTCCTCAGCTCCTCCCCTCCCCGCCTCGTTGATGATGTACGACGTCTTCAGTCCAGGGTACGTGCTCGAGAAAGCGATGTCCTCCGCAAGCGTCCAAAGCATCGACTAACTTGCTGCAAGGTGCGCACAACCGTCGGGGTCTTGGCGGCTGGCAGCGTATACTTCAAGTTGCCTATCTCTCTCGTCGTCGACATCGTCGTCGTCGTGGTCAGAGCCGTCGCCGTCGTCGTCGTTGTCGCCGTCGTCGTCGTCGTCATCGTCGACGTCGTCGTCATCATTGTCGTCATCATCGTCGTCGTCCACTTCCTCCTTCTCCTCCTCCTCCTGATCCTCCAAGTCCTCCCTCCTCCTCCTCCTCCTCCACCTCCTCCTCCTCCCTCCTCCTCCTCCTCCTCCTCCTCCTCCTCCTCCTCCTCCTCCACCGCATCCTCCTCCTCCATCACGCTCATCCTCCCCCTCGTCGCCACCTCCATCATCTTTTCTTCTACCTCCTCCTCCTCCTCGTCCTCCTCCTCCTCACTCCCCTCCTCATTCCCGTCTCCTCCACCTCCGCGTCCTCCACCCCCACGTCCTCTACTCCCTCGTCCTTCTCTTCTGCTCTTACCTTTTCTTCCTCGCCTCCTCCTCCTCCTCTCCTCCTCCTCCTCCTACCCTCCTCCATCCTACGCCGCCTCCACCTCCTCCTTTCTCGTTACCTCCATTCCACCTCTTCCTCCTCGTCGGCCTCCTCCTCCTGTTTCTCCTCCTCCGCCTCCTTCCGCCTCCTCTCCTCCTCCTCCTCTTCCTGCTCCTGCTCCCACTCCTCCTCCTCCTCCTCCTCCGCCGTCTCCTCCTCCTCCTCCTCTTCCTCCTCCTCCTCTTCCTCCTCCTCCGCCGTCTCCTCCTCCTTTTTCGCCTCCTCCTCCTCTTCTCTCCTTAGCGCCACGCACATTCGAAGAGCTTCACGGATTGAGGGTGGGCCGTCTTCAAACCGCGGCTCTCGCCTCAATGCCGCGCGCGTTCGTTGCAAAAGCTTGCAGGAGCTTAGCGGTCTGATGGCGGGTGGCGTTCAAAGTGCGGCTGTCGCTGCAGTGACGCGCGCACTGGTTTTCTTGTTTAATATATATATATATACACACATATATATATATATATATATATACATACATAGAACCACGCGCGCGCTTCGCGCGCGCTTAGGTTCTGTCGAGTCACAGACCCAGGAATCGTTGTGAGAAGAAATTGGTGACGCGAAGTCGAAGCCAATCTGGCGTTAATCTGGCGGCCCATATCGGGCAAAAATTGGCAATCTGGCGGGGGAGCCAGCGAGGTAACAGACTGGCGAGCAAGTAGAAATCTCCAACCTGGCCACGCCAGAGTGGCCCATGGAGCCTTGGACTGTCGAGGAGAAGGGCGAGACACTGAAATCTTGGGACGCGAAGTCGAAGCCAATCTGGCGCCAATCTGGCGGCCCCAATCTGTCGAGGAGAAGGGCGAGACACTGGAAACGCAAAGTCGTCTCAAAATCGACCCCGGGACTCCGAACGCTCCAACGTTTCGGGCTGCGCCCAGCCCCTGCGACGAGGGGCCCTAGACCAAAGTGCCCCCAGGACTCCCCGGGAAACTTCGGCGGCGTCCACAGCACCCCTCCTCCTCCTTTTCCTGCTCCTCCTCTTCCTCCTCCTCCCTCTCCTCCTCCTCCTCCTCCTCCTCCTCCTCCTCCTCCTCCTCCTCCTCCTTCTCCTCCTCCTCCCTCGTCTTCCTCCTCATCCTCGTCCTTTCCCGAGCCATACAATAACAACTTGCGTGGAATCCCTCTCGGGCCCATCTTGGGGCTCTCTTGGGCCGCCTGTGGAGCCTCTTGTGATTTTGTGGGGGGCCTCGTCCCGTCGCTCGCTGGGAGTTTGACGTAGCTTCTCGGGAGCCTCTGAACCTGTCGGGGGCTTCCTGGAAGCAGGTTCGAAGCATTTTGGGGGCCGATTTGGGGCTTCTCGGGGCCTCCTTTGGGCCTCTTGGGGGTCTCCTGGGGCCTCTTGAGGGGCCTCCTTGGGGCCTCCTGGCGGCCTCTTGGGGCGGAAGGCTCGAGCTTGCGGTTCGTGGTCCCCCTCTGGGCCCCCTCTTGGGCCCGTCTTGGGGCCCTCTTGGGCCATCTTGGGCGCCTCTTGGGCCGTCTTGGGGCCCTCTTGGGCTGTCCTGGGGCCCTCTTGGAAGCTTCTTGGGCCGTCTTGGGGCGGTCTTGGGCGCCTCTTGGGCCGTCCTGTAACGTCGGAAAGCCCAAAAGACAACTTTGTTGAAAATGTACGTTTTACGAAGGGAATGGGCCAATTTTTGCGTCTAGGGGCCCTCTTGGGACGCATGTTGGAGGCTTCTTGGGGCCTCTTGGGGGCGTCCTTGGACGTCTGGGGTCTCCTGGGGCCTCTTGAGGGGCCTCCTGGGGGCCTCCTGGCGGCCTCTTGGGGCGGAAGGCTCGAGCTTGCGGTTCGTGGTCCCCCTCTGGGCCCCCTCTTGGGCCCGTCTTGGGGCCCTCTTGGGCCATCTTGGGCGCCTCTTGGGCCGTCTTGGGGCCCTCTTGGGCTGTCCTGGGGCCCTCTGGGAAACTTCTTGGGCGGTCTTGGGGCGGTCTTGGGCGCCTCTTGGGCCGTCCTGTAACGTCGGAAAGCCCAAAAGGCGACTTTGTTAAAAATGTACGTTTTACGAAGGGAATGGGCCAATTCTTGCGTCTAGGGGCCCTCTTGGGACGCATGTTGGAGGCTTCTTGGAGCCTCTTGGGGGCGTCCTTGGACGTCTGGGGTCTCCTGGGGCCTCTTGAGGGGCCTCCTGGGGGCCTCCTGGCGGCCTCTTGGGGCGGAAGGCTCGAGCTTGCGGTTCGTGGTCCCCCTCTGGGCCCCCTCTTGGGCCCGTCTTGGGGCCCTCTTGGGCCATCTTGGGCGCCTCTTGGGCCGTCTTGGGGCCCTCTTGGGCTGTCCTGGGGCCCTCTGGGAAGCTTCTTGGGCCGTCTTGGGGCGGTCTTGGGCGCCTCTTGGGCCGTCCTGTAACGTCGGAAAGCCCAAAAGACAACTTTGTTGAAAATGTACGTTTTACGAAGGGAATGGGCCAATTTTTGCGTCTAGGGGCCCTCTTGGGACGCATGTTGGAGGCTTCTTGGGGCCTCTTGGGGGCGTCCTTGGACGTCTGGAGGCCATCTTCAGCATCTCGGAGCCCTCTTGGAGGCCTCTTGGAAGTTTCTTGGGCCGTCTTGGGCGCTTCTTGGGCCGTCTTGTCTGACTGGGGAGGCCTCCGGCAAGCCCCGACGAGCCTCCGGGCCCCCCGGGGCGCACATTTGTGGTCGGGGTCCCGGCCCCGGGCCCCCGGACCCGGTGCGCCAGAAGCTTCACACATGGAAGGCGGGTGGTGTTCAACATGTGGCCCTCGCCTTCGCGACGCGCACACGTTGGTTGCGAACATGTGCACGAGCTTCACGGACCGAGTGCTGGGTTTCAAGCTGCGGTTCTCCTCTTCACTCCGCGCACATCATTCCTAGCAGTGTGCACGACTGTCGCGGATTGAAGGCGGATCCTCTTCACAAAAGTGGTTCTCGCCGCAGTGCCGCGCGCACTCGGTTTCAATAGTTGCAGGGGGTTCTCTGACCCTCATGATTAGCGTATCAGAGAGGGTGTTTTGGATCGACTCGAGATTCAGGGCGCACGAATTACAGAACGCGCATGGCAGACCGGTCTCTGGCGGCGGCCTTGGCTTCCAGAGCGGCGACCATCCGCGTCCGCCGCGCAGTCAGAGGCCGGCCTCCAGCGTCGCTCGACCCTGGAGACCGCGCCGCTTGCAGACGAGACCACGGACGGAACGGGCGACCTCTGCCGCAGGTCCTTCGCCGTGCCGGGGCCGCGCCGATCGCTCCCAGACCTGTCCCCGTCGGAGCTCGAGACGGAAGGGGCGTCTGCTTCTCAGCTGCTCGAGACGGAAGGGGCGTCTGCTTCTCAGCTGCTCTTGTCAGCCCCCGCGTCGGGGCCCACCGCGCTCTCGGGACCGGCGGGCATCTTCCTGCTCCCCCTGCAGTCACAGCGGACGGCACTGGTCGGCGGAAACGGCGGCCCGGCAGCAGAGCCAATGGCGCCGACGCACGCCCCATGAACATCGGTCACTGATCCACCTTCACTGTCGTCCGCGGTTCGGGCACCGGGTGCCAGAGCCTGGTCGGGGGGGGGGGCAGGGCGAAGCCTCTCTGCTTCTCCCGGCCCATCATTCTCACGATCTTCCTCCCAGGCCCTCCTGGGCGCACTTGAGTTCACGCTGGATGAAGAGATCCCCCTCGTTGCACCCGTCGGGGCAGGCCACTTCTTCGGCTTCAACTCTGGGGGGCTGATTCCTTGAGCGTCGGGCGTCAATCCGCTCCATTGGCTTTGAGCCGTCTCGAGCGAGTCGGGAGATACCTCCGAGGCGGAAGTAGGCATAAGGAATACTGGGCCTTCCCCCCAGGCTATCGAGGCGTCGATGCTAGGGGCTTCGATCGCCTCAGTGTCGACGCAAGGCTTCCCTGGCAAGTCTGTTTCATACATATTGACGGTCGGTGGAGATACAAGTTGAAACCCATCAGACGAAGCGGGTTGGCCTGCTTGCTTAACTGGCTTCCCTTCGAAACGTGGACCTCTTTCGAATCAGTCGCATCCCTGAGTCGGGTCGAGAATGCCGCAATGCTCTGTCTCTCTCTCTCTCTCTCTCCTCTTTGTTGTTTCTTTATGTATCTCTCTCTCTCTCTCCTTCTCCCTTTCCCTCACCTGAAGCCGCTCTGGAAATTGTCTTATGCAAGCCCGAGTCTGATGGTAAGGGCAAGCCTGGGATTCCTTCGGTGCCCCCCATCACGCATGGGCGAGCATGGGACTTCCTGCGGGGTCCAGATGTTGTGCCCATCGGGATGGGGAAACACGAACGTAGGTCCTTTTCATATGATATGCTTGAGGTTCTACTCTGATACTCATCGTCACGATCTTGCTTCCGTGCAGGAGCGTTGAAAGTATCACGACATACCACGTAAGAAAGTGGAGGGCGACGGGGGGAGGACGTGGAGTATGAGGAGGAGGAGGAGGAGGAGGAGGAGGAGGAGGCGAAGGAGGATGAGGAGGAGGAGGAGGGGGAGGAGGACAGCCCGCACGTTACTTATTTCACCCTAGCCTACGCGCGCGTTTCCCCGCGCTTGGCTCAAAGCAACTTTGTGGATATGACGTAGCTTGCGTCTTAGCGGAAAAAAAGTGCGCGCCTCTCTCTCTCTCTATCTCTCGCTCTCTCTCTCTCTGTATCGCTCTCTCTCTCTCTCTCTCTCTCGCTTCGGGAGTTTATCACCATCTGCTCTTCAAGTTATTTGACGGAGCAGTATAAGCCATGGCGTATAACACCGTGAACGGACCACCCGTTGACAAGATCAATGCCCTGATCTAGGGGACCCTCGGTTGTTGCGTTCAGTCGTCCGTCACCTCCACGTCCTTCTCCCCCTGCTGCTTGTCATGGCTATTCTCTTCTTCCTTATCCTCCTCCGCTTCCTCCTCTCCTCCTCCTTGTTCCTTACCTCATCCTCTTGCTCGCACTCCTTCTCCCACTCCTTCTCCTCCTCCTCGCCCTTCTCCTCCTCCTCCTCCTCCTCTTCCTTCCCCTTTCCTGCTCCAGCTCCATCGATCACTGAAGAAGGTTGCCTGTTAATCACAGCTCGTTTTCAACCCAGGCCAGAGTTTCCTCAGACACTTGAGGCAACGAAATTGGGTGCCTAACCAACTCGGGTGGCACTGAACATCCAACAGGCGAGGCTTAGCCAGTTTGGGAATGCGGTTGACGAGCAAAGCAGCCCTCTGGTCGGAGGCCACTCCGCTAGAAACTTAGCAGCACCTTCGGCAACGCTTTGAAAGGCCATCAGGCTGTTGACATGCTACCTTGTAACTCTATGGGAAGGGCAGCGGGACTGGGCTGCTTCCCCCGCCTTCGTGCACGCCATTCCCTAGGATCCGAAGTCGGTCGACCTCGCTCACAGCCTCTTCGGAGAGACCTGATCTACACATTGCCAACATATGCGTTGCGAGCTACATCGCACCTGTATCTGCTGCATTGGTTTCTGCCAGACAAGGACGCTGTTGGGACATCCATTGTACTAAGGACCACCTGGCCATCTACGACAAGCGCAGGACTCGGATTCATTTCGACGCTCCAACTGCTATCGCGAAACCTGCATGCTCTGCATGCACAGCCTGTTGAGTGAAAGCCTGGGGAAGTCGGGTAACGAGACCTCGGACGGAGCTACTCTCCCCATCCGCTTGGACAGCAGCAGCTCGCAGCAGCTCCCGCTCGCGCAGGCCGAATCAACCATAGGGGCGCAATCGGGCCCCGTGTAGGTGTAGGATGGGCAGCTTCGGATCGAGAACAGATTCAGTCCCAATCCCCCTTTCCCTCTTCATCCCCTCTCCTCCTCATACGTCCGACGTCGTCATCTTTCGCCAGGTGGGCACCTGCAGGTCCCGACGCCTTCCCCCCGGGAACGGCTGCTCGCCCCGAGGAGCTCTTGACGGCATCGGGGCCTGGGGAAGGGCCCCCCCCTGGGGCCGACAACAATCCAAATACAGCGGAGGCCAATCCAAATACAGTGGAGGCAGCTCTGAGGGGTAAAGGGCCTGTGGTTCCGAAGGTTACGTCGGGCATGTCCTCCTACAGGGGGATGTTGGATGATGTTGGACGAACAAATACCAAAATGCATCCAAGCATGACAAAGACATATGAGAAACATCGTGCCCGTACTATGGAACAAATCCTCCCGTGAAAGGACATGTCCGATCTGATCACGAGGGTTCTTGAGGGCCCGACCGCTCGGCTTCCCAGGCGGTCCTGGGCGGTCCAGAACGCTGCTCCAGCGTGTCGCCCGAGCTTTCGAGACGCCGAGAAAACCCCAGGACGGGCCAAGAGGACCCTACGGTAGGGGCCCGACCACAAGAAGCCTTCCACAAGAAACCCAACCCTGAGACCCCAGGGCGTCCATTGAGTTTTGGTGTGGGAACGTCACGCTCTCCATCGCAAGACCATCGAAACCCAGGGCACCCTTGAGGCAAGCAGGGTGTTTCTTGGCATCGGTCTGCACTGTACCCTTCGCGTGCCAACCTCCAGGAACTGCTTCCCTCGGGACCCGCTTGCGTCATGGCCGACGGACCTTCCTCCCCCCTCCCCGACTCCGACTCCAGATCCGCCGTACCTTGGGCGATGTCACAGTTAGGGCGGAGACAACAAGAACCACCCTCCAGACTACAAGGGCCCCCCCCCCCCCCCGCCCCCCCGGAATACAAGGGCCCCCCCCAGACTATAAGGGCCCCCCCCGGACTACAGGACCCCCCCCCAGACTACATGGGCCACCCCCCTGGAGTACAAGGGCTCCCCCCAGACTACTGGTCACCCCAGAACTATTGATGTACTCAGGGTACTTCTCAAGCCCCTTTGATGCCGATTCCCGCCCTACTTTGCCGTCGCAGTTTCCGACGTGCCTCTGCGGAAGCATCCTCCCTACTTCTCTGAGGCGGAAATGTCGGCCCTGCGTTTCCGCATCGTTTGGGGTGCACTCCCGAAGCGGTCTGCAACAAACAAATTAACCAAAGTGCTCGTTCGGGGTGCATTCCCGACACTCGGCCACGCGCAGAAGGGGGTGGGGGGAGGGGGGAGGGCTTCTTGGAAGCACCCCTGCTCCTTAGAAGGCGCGGGCCTGCTCTGTAGACGTAAGGCCGGCGCCTCCTAAGAACCAGCCTCCTTCGAAGACGCCCTCCCCCCTCCCTCCACCCCCCCGGCGCGCGCCGCCTTGGACGCCCGAAAGGGGTACGGACAAAAAGGGGCACAATGCCCAACAGCAGATGTTGTCCCAAACCAAACAGCGGCCGCTGGTGGGCAGGCGGCCTTCTCTCGAATGGACACAGGCCGCGGCGGCGTGGACAGCGAGTCCTGTTCAAGATGAGCAGGAACTGCTGGTGGGCATTGTACCCATTCTTTCCGTACCCATTTCGTTCGTGCCGAGCCGCCGGGGCACGGCTTCCAGCTGAAGCATCCACCGAAGGACGGCGGATCCGGAATGAGGGCCGCCTCGAAGCCGGGAGGCTCGGCCGGACTGCCCGGAGACGCTCCTCGGTGGTCCGGTAGGACGCCTGGTCGATGACCAGGCGCTCCTCCGCGGGAAGGGAAGGGGGGGGGGCGCAGACGCGCGCCTTCTGCCCAATACTGTTGAGGCGTTTCGGGAAAAACGAGACAAAAGTTTTTCATAGTTTTTGGCCTCTCGGGGCCCTTGCCGGGCCTCGGGACCGTCAAAAAACGACTCGGGATGAAAAACCGGTTCCGGGGAAGTGGTCGGGAGGTCGGGGGCCCGCGTCTCGAACAAATCGAGACGTCGGATGTCCGGGAAAAGTGTTTGCACTTCGGATGGCACTGCTGCTCCCCCGCGCCCCCGACTTCAAGATTGACTGTTGTGACATCTCAGGGCCCTTCGAAAAAATAAAGATGCATCATATTTCAGTGTGCGCGTCCGCTCTCAATATTAAAGTCGGGGGCGGGGGGTCGTATCATCAGTTGTCGCGCCGCCCAGGTGGTGCAGACTTGTTGCTTCAATCGTATCAGCCACTTGCTCATCACGAAAGACACCCGCACTGAGAGATTGAATGTGGACCTCCAGGGTGCCAATGCGGATATTTCGTTCAGGGTGGTCGGCCTCCACCTCACTGCCCGCCTCGTGCGTTACCGAACAAACAGCGTAGAAAGAGCAATGGGATTGGTCCGAACTACTAGTCACGGGATGTGTGAATAATTCCGTGCAGACGAGCTGAAGTAGCGCTTTGGGCCTCAACAAGCTCTTGATGCGCTGGTATTTGCCAGTCATACACAATGGTGGAAGACAGAAGAGTATGTGGAACAGAGATGACATGTGTAGCCGAGCCCGCCACCAGAGTCGGGGTGGACATCACGACATCTGGATTGAGATGCGAAGCCACCTTAACCCTGGGCTGCTGATAGCGACGCGCACAGACAGAGGTAGCTGGAGTCCATATCCTGGATGTGCTCGTCGGAGCTCCTGCTCAAGCTCGCGCAAGAAGTCAGACTCCCAAGTGCCAGTGCACTGTCGGAGGAACTGAAACGCAGTGTCAACTTGCCGAAGCCTCCTCCGAATCGGGTTGCTTAAGGGACGTCAATGGTCATGGGCAGACGCAGAAGCCCAACTATAGTGCTTGCTTGCCGAATACGAACTCAAACGCAGGGAACGAGCTGCCAGAGCAGAGACAGTGCCACAAACGTCTTTCATGATGGCACCATAAAACTGATCCCTGGTAGAAAGAACACCGAACATGTTGCGTGATATCCTGAGCACTGAGAGGTCGGCCACCTTGCGCCATAATGGCTTGAGGGCTTCGGAGGACGAGGAGGAGAAAGCGGAGGAGGAGAAAGCGGAGGAGGAGGAGGAGGAAGAGGAGGGGGAGGAGGGGGGAGGAGGAGAAAGAGGAGGAGGAGGAGGAGGAGGAGGAGGAGGAGGAGAAGGAGAAGGGGGAGGAGGAGGGGGAGGAGGGGGAGGAAGAGGATGAGGAGGAGGACCAGTGTAAACCCAAGAGTCATCAACGATTTTGGAGCAAGCCCTCCCTCCAAGCTCCCCGTTCATAGGCCCCTACAACGGCTCATTTCCATTGATGGAACTGCCTCGTTGGAAGACACTCGTTTGAAGACCCTGAAGCATGCCAAAGCATTGTTTTCGGGATTCCAACGGCACGGGTCAACCTGACTGTTGCTTGTTGACGATGCCGAAGCATGCCAAAACACCATTCCTAGGACTTCAACAAAAAATCAACGCAGCTGTCGCGCCCACATAGTCCCGAATCCTTCCAACACGCCATTTCTGTTACGTTGATGATGGGCATAAATGAAACCCTTGCACATTTCGTAAACGAATGTGCGCGGCGCGAAAATGAGAACCACATTTTGAAAACGACCCGCACTCAATCCGTGAAACCCTTGCAAACGTTTAAAACGAGTGTGCGTCGCACTACGGTGAGAACGACATTTTGAAAACGACCCGCCCTCAGTCCGTGAAACTCTTGTACATGTGCGAAACGAATGTGCGCCGCGCTAAGGCGAGAACCACATCTTGAGAACCGCTCGCCCTCGATCCGTGAAACTCTTGCAACTTTTGACACGAATGAGCGCCGCGCTGGGGCGAGAACCACATTTTGAGAACGGCCCGCGCTCAATCCGTGAAACCTTTGCAAACGTTTAAAACGAATGTGCGCCGCATTAAAGCGAGAACCGCAGTTTGAAAACGACCCGCCCTCAATCCGCGAAACTCTTGCACATGTTCAAAACGAGTGTGCGCCGCGCTAAAGCGAGCACATCTTCAGAACCACTCGCCCTCAACCCGTGAACCTCTTGCGAATGCTAAAACGAATGTGCGCCGCGCTAAGGCGGAGGCCACATGTTGAAAACGACCCGCCCTCAATCCGTGAGACTCTTGCACATGTGTTAAAAGAATGCGCGCCACGCTACTGCGAGAACCGCATTTTGAAAACCACCCGCCCGTAAAACTCTTGCCATGGTTTAAAACGTATGTGCGCCGCGCTAAGGCGAGAGCCACAATTTGAAAACGGCCTGCCCTCTATCTGCGAAGCGGCTGCCAATTTCTAAGCATCAAAATCATAAATGGTGAGGAAGTCTCATGCGAAACGCCCGGCCCGCCCTAAAACATTGGCCTCGGGGTGCGACATGGAGAAGTTTTGTATAAGGAAAAGGAATGGAAGAGGAGGAGGAGGAGGAGGAGGAGGAGGAGGGGGAGGAGGAGGAGGAGGAAGAGGAGGAGGAGGAGGAGGAGGAGGAGGAGGAGGAGGAGGAGGAAGGGGAGGAGCAGGAGGAGGAGGAGGAGGAGGTGGAGGAGGAGGAAAAGGAGCAGGAGGAGGTTAGGTTAGGACAGCCTCGAGGGGAAGAGTCTCGCGAGACTAAAACAAATGGGGGGAAGTGGCACCCCTCAGAGAGGGATCTGTCACCCTTGAGGACAGAGCTCCCGACACTCTGACCAGGGCCCGCGACAGGGTGCCACCGAACAAAACTATTCCTCGGCCTTCAACGCCTCCTTGGCCTGCACTCGCTCAGCGAGGGCGGCCAGCCTCCGCTCATACTCGGGGGCGGTGGAGGAGATCCACGCGCACCACGGCCCGCGAGAGGCTGGCGGCCGCCTCGCTGAGGCCGCAGCGCCTGGCCCGGTCGCCCCTCGGCCCACGAACCCCCGGCCGTGAGGCGGACGGGCCCTCTGGAGGAGAGGGGTCCCAGCAGTGTTTCGCCAGTGTTGCGCCCTCGTCGGGGAGCAGTGCTGGGCGTCGCTTCTCGTGCAGGGGCTTCTCATGGGGGGGGTCATGCTCGTCTTCCTCGTCCTCCTCGTGCTCCTCGTGCTCTTCGGCCTCCTCGTCCGCCTCGTCCTCCTCGTCCACTTTGCCCTCCTCGTCCTCCTCGTCCTCCGCGTCCGCCTCGTCTGCCTCGTCCGCCTCGCCCGCCTCGTCCGCCTCGTTCTCCTCGCCCTCCTCGTCCTTCTCGTGCACTTCTCGGGACCTAGAGGCCCCCATTTGGGGGCTCGAAAGGGCCCCATGTAGGGGCCCTCCAGGGCCCTTCTGTTTGATTTTTTGTCTGCAGCCCTCGTTGCCCCCCCATGGATCCCCCCCCTCTTCACGCGACGCCCAGCAGTACATGCATCCAGGGGCTCCCTAGGTCCATGTCTTCGGCGGGGCCCACGGAGGGAGGGATACGAGAAATGCCCGCCCCCGGGCTATTCGCCCTTGTCGTCGCCTCCAAGAATTGGAAGGGGAGATAATAAACCGAGGGGGGCGAAGAAAAACGCACCTTTCGTACACATGTGGGGCCCCAGGGGGCCCCATTCAGGGTCCCTTTCCTGCAGCCCCCGAGGCACCCAAGGGTGCCTCAAGACGGCCCCAGGAGGTGCCCAGGAAGCCCCAAGAGGCCTCCAAGACGCCCCCAAAATGCCCCCAAGAGGCTCCCAAGAGACCCCCCTAAGAGGCCCGAAGAGGCTCTCCAAAGGCACCCAAGACGGCCAAACCCAAGAAGTACCCGGGACTGCCAAGAGACCCCAAGACACCGCACGAGGACTCCAAGAAGCTATCGGAAGACATCCGAAGAGACTCCGAGAGGCATCCAAGAGGCTGCTGGACATTCTGCTCGCCCTCCTCCTCCTCCTCCTCCTCCTCCTCCTCCTCCTCCTCCTCCTCCTCCCCCCTCCCTCTCCCGATCCCATGTTAGAGGCTGCTTTCGAGCCCGATCCTTTCGAGGACGAGGTGGACCCGTGGGCCGCCGACACCTGTTTTCATCCCAGGGACGCTGGGGCCGAGGGATACTCTCAGGCCGACGCTCTCCAGGGGTTTCAAGTTTCTGAAGTGTCGCACCCCGCCACCCCAGAGTCTGGTTCGTTTGCTCCCAAGCCCCTTTCAGAGCCCCCCAGCAGCAGCAGCAGTACTGACCCCGATTTTCCAGCACTGGAGTCTGTGGAAAAGGTGACTGAGGCCTCTCCCAAGGAGGTTCCCCCGCCCCGTCCCTTCTGCATCCCCTCCCACCGCTGGCATTCGGCGCAAACCTGCTGTAGCTTCATATCTTCCCAAAGCAATGTAGAATACATCAGTTGGAAACCGATACAAGATTCGGTCGCATATCATGTTGGTGGCCCATATATTCAACAAGTGTCCGCGAAGTACGCTCAGTGGGTTTCTCGAGTGGAATGCGTTATTTCTGCTCATCACGGTATACCACTGCCGACGACTTCTCGGACCACCGACCCGCAGCTTCAAACAATGCCAGTCCAACAGGCGCTCACTTTCAGGGACGCGCCGCTGCGGGACAAAGTTTCGAACTGGTGGGCTAGAGTTTTACAAGTGTTGGTACGTGTTCAGAGGCACAGGCAACGGCGTTCAGGCGACAGGCAATTGGCTTTCTTGGGACAGTTGGGCGTGAGACTTGCAGGAGACATACCTGACGGCGCTCACACCTGCATCCCTCCTGCCGAAGCTCTGGAGTGGGACGCCTGGGTACAGTTCCTCCGACACGACTTCGAGCACTCACGGTATCCGCTGGATCACTTCGTGCAGGGCGCTCAGAAGGCTTCTAGGAAGGCCTCTCGGAAAGCCATGCAGGCGTC